TACTGCCTACTACTGCCTACTACTGCGTACTACTACCTGCTACTTCCTACTGCTACCTACTACTACCTACTACATCCTACTACTACTAAGACGACGACGACTACTACTGCTACCACCACCACTGCTCCACCTGCCCCGCCTCTTCTGCTACTGCCTACTCAACTGATACTGCTGCTGCTTCTTCTGCAGCTTCTACTGCTTCTTCTTCTACTTCTGCTGCACGGCTGCTACTGCTACATCTGCGAATAACTGCTACGGCGGATGCTACTGCTGCTACGACTGCCACTCCCACTTCCGCTGCCACTGCTACTACTGCCGCTTCTGCTACTCCTCCTTCCTTCTCCTCGTCGGCGACCACGCTGTCGTCGTCATCGTCACTGCTCACACTCCCCGCCATGACTGGCGATCAAGCCATTTCCATCCCATAACCCCCATAGAAGCACCAACACCATTCAGACACACTATCAAAGATCCCCTCTTTGATGTGGTTGTCGCTGAATGTCTTGTGGTCAGACGTGGTTTTGAAGCCGCGCACCTCCCAATGGCACTGCAGTGCTGGATGGTACAGGCACATGCCAGCCACCTGAACTTGACGAAGGATTCGTGACTGCCTGACTCTAGACTCGAGCACCGCAAGTTTAGATCTAAGTAAACCATGGAGCTGTTCGCCAAAGTGTCTGCATTCGCATGGATGCCCATGCTGCTGTCATGTTCCATTGCTGATCTGTATACCTGGAACAAGGGGGCAAGCTTTCGCACATGCCACACTGTGCACGACTGTCCTGTCTGCGTGGGCGCTGCAAGGAGCTGTGCCAAATCAATAACAGTGTGCCTTTAGTCTGCTGCCGCGCAACTCTTCCCACTGGCTTCCAGCAACAGGCCAACCACTCTCGCCCCACTTCACCTGGCCCATCAGGGGCGCTGCAGTTGCAAAAAAAACGCCACGGGGGGCCATCCCCACCCACCCAAAATCGGCCTGCATCCTGTTTGAGAACGTCAGAAACTCTTCCTCGTACTTTGCCGCTAGCCTGTTGCTTTTTCAACAGGCGGCAAAGGGAAGGTCTAGAAATTGATACAAAGACAAGCATGATACTTGTTGAGACGAAGGACCAATCCATGAGTGGAACCGTTTCTTCTCGGCCCTGGAAAAGCTCTTTCTTGAGCATGAGGATGGACTCTCCGTAGTGTGGGATGCAGACCGTCAGCCCTGGAAAGTAGGGAGCCCGGAATGGACGGGGCACTGGGAGACCGAGGCCCCTGGACAAAGCCAGGATCCTCCACTGCACATCCGGGTTGTTCGGCCAGTGCGGATCATGCATACAGCAATAGGTCTTGAATCCTACCTCGAAGGCCGTTTTCTCACGGAAGATATCCGGAACCTTCACCTTGCGTCTGGGCCTGGGAGGTGCCTTCTCGCGGACGGTCGTGGCCGCATAGCTGCCTGACATAAAGTCAGCCTCCTCCGTGACTACCGGAGGATCTGCAACCGGCGTGACGGCTTCGCGCCGCCGCTTTTCCAATGGTTGACGCAACTGCTTCCAGTAGACCTGGTGGCCGGACTCACCAGACTTGAAGGATAAATCGCCCATCAAGTGGTTGTCTATCTTGTCTTCGTAGCGCATATACTCCAGGATCCTGTCCCAAATTGCTGGGAAAAAAGGCGAGAACTGTGCCACCTGCTCGCCCGATCGCCCATCAGAGCCAGCGAAGGAGTAGGGCAAGACCTGTGCGGGGCTTGAAATCACGCCTACTCTTCCGCCAGTTTGCATGCACCCGATGCATCCCGAAGTACACCTTCCGAGAGAATCGCTCCGGAAGCTTCGCGACGGAGTCCTGCAGCATTGAAAGTCGCAGGCAATGCGAAGAACATCGAAGAACGACTGACCCACTCCTCGAGCGCCCAGCTGACGACTCGGCAGCCGCGTTGGACAAAGACGGCAGCCACACCCAGCACAGAACACCTCTGGACACCGAGCAAAACCATCGGCAGAACGGACCAAGGGTGACCAAGAGTTCTACATGCAGAGAAGGCGCATCAGGGTGAACCACAACTGGGTGTCGGAGATGAATAGAACCAGCGTGGTAAACCACAGCACAAACCACAAGAGGAAGTCGGATCCCCATTCAGTGCTGTAGTAAATCTTTGACAGCTCGGATACCGACTCTCGTCCAGGAAGGGCTATCTGCAGAGCTACCGTTGCATCATACATGGCTCGAAAAATAATCAGGCCCAGCATGAACTTCACGGTGAAGACCAAGATCCAAAACAAGTACCGGACCATGCGCATGTAACAGGGGACCGGCGTCAGCTCCCACATCTTGTCCGTGTTGCTACCACAGCTGCGCAGGCAGCTACCAGAAGGTATCAGCAGCAAGTAGGTCAACCCCGTCCCAGACAGGGCGAAGTGCAGAACGAGGAGGGGCGTAAGAGGAAGGCCGAACTGGCTATCCTCGTCCAAAGTCGCATCTCGAATGGCAACATAAGTGAAAACAGGCATCATCCTGAGCCAGTTGGAAAGCGCTCTTCACACAGGGGGTGCCAACCCTGTACAAGAGAACACAAACAACACATTCTGTACCGAGGCAAATGCCACCACACTGTCTTCCAAATGCCTTGGTTGAAAGCTGCCGAAAAGCATGTCGTCGAGTGGCAGCTCCAAAAACATTGGAAGTTCAACCGGGATGCTGCGGCCGATGCAAGTAAGGGGTGCCTGCATCCTGAGGATTCGCCCTGTTACCTGCCACCGGGCACATGCCCAAAGCAGCGCATGCAGCGGCACCACCAGAGCGACCGCCGCAAAGCGGACCGGCGTACTCTGCCCCAGCAGCGGCACATTTCCATCCGCGGATGGCTCTGGATCGCCAGCAACAGCACCTGACTCTCACCGCCGCGTTGTGATTGGGGCTACTCGTTTTCTAGCCTGTAGATAGAGATCCTGGGCGTAAAGGTGCAGCCTAGTGGCATACCCCCGCGAAGAACAGGACGAGATGCAGCAGTACCACACGATGTGTAGCTGCAAACACGCCCCACAGCGAATGGATCTCTCTGTGAGTCTTGGTTTCGGCTGCTTCCAATGTGACCTGCGCTGACCACCGGTCCAGCTGTCCAAGTCATGGTAACTAGGTGTTGCTGTAACGATACCCGAACGACACTGCAAGCCTGCCAATCGACCCTGGCGAGGGCCAGAAAGCGGCGCTCATGCTGCAGGTCGAAAAGCCGGGTACCATCCTGCAGCAGCAGCCCTTCCACCATACGGCTCGGGTCACAGAAGAACTCGTTCCAGTCCTGAGGTGTGCGCAGGCAGTCAGTATATAGGCACAGGGACCAATGACAACCGATCAAGAGTCGTCGTAGTTTGCCACCTTGGCCGGGCTGGAACCAGACGATGCGGTTTTGCGCTGTCGTTCAATCACTAAGGCGGCAGCATCTGGAAGCAGGAAATTGTCCAGCCCCGGCTTCAACTTCTTCTTGTCTTTTTGCGAGTTGTGATCGATGTCAACATACTGGTACCTCGGTCTTCTGTTCTATGATCTTGCAAGCTGGGAAGAATCGGCAACACAGCGACGCACACGGATCAACGGCCGGGATACCACTCATCAAACACCACGTTGTAGATCGGTCGGATGATTTTACTCAAGAAGAGGTTGCTCCTGAACGGAGCACCTGGCAAGCTTGCCTCCGGCACGGGCACCCCATAGACCTCTTCGAGGTCTGCAGGATTGGCGGCTAAGGCAAGCTCTGTGATGAAGTAGACTGCCTGACAAGCGCACTTCTGCACACGCGCACACCTCCGCTGCCGCTCACCACCCCCGGTGCAATGCTGGCAGGATTTCGTTGAATCCGATCCCATAGGAACATTCTGCCCCACCTCCGGCATGAATCTCACATTGCCTGCTTCCCCCCAAACTAGCAAGTAGACAGCCATCTCCGTGAGCTGCCGTGACAGAATCGCCGCTGTGGCCGGATCCAGTCCATCTTTTCGAAGCGGCTCCCATCTCGCCCCTCCCACAGGGCGTGGCCTGGCTCAAAGCTCAAGTACGGTTGATACTATTACCATTGCGGATTGCTACTGTATGTCTGAACCCAGGCTATGACTATTACCATTACGATGAGGATTACGATTACGATGTTTCACTGTTATTGCTATCGCTATGTGATTGTCAGCTTCCTTCACAATTAATACCATCACTATTGTTATTACTATTCTTCTTATAATTACTGCCACCAGCATTGTGACCATTACTACTATTGTGAAAAATAGACTACAGACTTCTAGCACAATGAGACGAGCCGCTCATCCTCGGAGAGACTGGGTACTGCCGCAGGTTCGTGTTCAGCCAGCTTCGCCCGCCAACGGAGGAAGCCATCCATCATCTCGTAGTACAATTCCTCCACTGCCTGCGTAGGGCTGGGCTGGTTTGGTCCTAGACAGACTTTCTGCAGCCTTCGACATTATCGGTTTTCGCTTGTACAGTGCTTGCCCCTTCCCCCATTATCGCCACAAGGCTCCAAACCAACGTCTGAGTAAAGCCATTCTACAAGTATGACTGAAAGCGGGCCCACGGCCTCTTGCAGCATCAGCCCCTCGTTGATTGATGCTCCTTCGCCCATCGAGCGATCAGCAACCATCGCGCACTGGGAGCGCCACAGCGACAGCAGGTGCTCATACTGGTTCCGGACGCTGTCGATTTGAAAATCAAAGGACTCTTTCAGCGCACCGAAAAGGCTCGAGGTCGAATTGGCAAACTCCGCAGCACCTGGTAAAACGCGGAGGCAGTGGCGTTCGATCCACTCTGCCTCCAGCTGTTGCTTCAGCTGGCTGCGGCAGGACACCCTTGGCGTCCTCGAGCCAGCTCGGCTCACGGGCGCCTCGTCACCTCAAATTCACGTGAAGCAACACGCCGAACGGCTGAGAAGAGGCCACCGAATCTTTCAATGCAACCACGGAACGTTCCGTCATCTGCTCCGGCTCTTTTGTAGGCTGCGGGAGGATCCAGGATGACACAACGGAAATGGTGAACAAAATGGCCAAGCATACCACTGGCACCAGCAAAGCGACCTGAGCATCCAAATAGGTCGAGCTTCAGAAAACATCACGAAAACGACAAGGTATGCAGACTTTACAATGACCTGAAGAAGTGCCAATACTAAACTGACCCAGAAGTTTGTAATGATAACTAATGGTAGCATAACATCTTACATGCTAAACATTGCTATTAAAGGTAGCGCCAGGCAGCAGTGGAAGCGGACCATCTCGTGTCGATGCAGAACGGCGGCCCGGGCAAAGTGCAACACTTCCGGCCCTGGAGCATCACCGAACCCCACCTGACAACAGCCCGACTCGCGCAAGCATCTGCCATAAAACAGAAAAACTTAAACTAACATCTGAAGAATCACACGCAAACAGAAAGATAGACAATCTACCATCTGCCGGATTCTGCCTGCCTACTCACCTCCCCACATACGTACACAAATATGTACGCACGTACGTGCATACATGTTGTGTCTCTGTTGTGTGTGTGTGCGTGTGCGTGT